GTGTGCAACCTGGTCACAATGTATCGTCTAAGAGTACTTTTACACTTTTTCAACAGAGAAATGATGACAAAGAAGAAAAAGAAGCCTTTAGAATTTAGTTTGAAACCACATTTATGCTTTAGCCACCTTCAAAATATCTTATATGGGTCATTCCTACAATACATCAAGTTTCCATCACGTCTTAAAATAAGAAATTTGAAAGATAAACTAAAGATTAAAGGAAAATTTGTTTTAACACAATTACGTAAACATGAATTCATTGTAAATAATTTCACTACTTTTGTTTGAGTGGATGTTGCCATTTTTTTTCAATATCCTCGGAAACTAAACTTCTAAAATTAAATATTTATTAAATATTAATATTTATTCAAAAATATTCCCCGTATTCTAAATATTTTAATATCACAGGATTACATATATTTTATAAATGTGTATCTATACACATATTTTTGTCTGAATATTGATTTGTAAAATTTGTAAACTCCCAATCCCTCACTGAGCAAAGCCTAACTGTAGCTCTTTCTATCATGCTTGGTTTCCTCCTGTTCATTTTCTTGCTATTCTGTAAATAATCTTGTTAAAATTAATGACAGAGCATATCTCAGTTTTTATATTAAACCTTGAAAACCTTTTATAGAAATAGTTCCTTAAATTACAGCACAGTCTAAAGGTTTAAAATATACTGTAGAGCAGAAAAAAATCCACATGTACACTAAATTAGCATCTAAGCAGTAGAAATAAACACAAGATGGTTGTCCTGTTTCTTTAATGCCAGAGGCTTTGGGAATGTACGTGGCCTTTGGTGGCTGCTTTGGTAACACCCATGGCATCCACGGCACGCAGGACTAGGCGGGTTTCACCGCTTATAAATACACCCACTAGACAAGGCCTAAATTCACACTGCAAATGCCCCATCTCATTCCTGGGAGAGTGTGGTGAGCAGCATGGTTGATATCTATAGTATATTATGTTTGTGAAAGTTCTGAGAATCAGTGTTAGTGGACTGTGGTGTGTGTGTTTGTGTATATTTATAGTGCTAAAGAAATATAAGCCTACTCGTCTGCAAAACAATTTTATCTGACCAGTGTCCTGCAAGTCTGGACATCACATCACTGTAAGATCAGGTTATATAAAATGGATGAAAGTCGTATTGCTCCTGAAACAAATGAAGCTTAAAGACGAATCAAGATGCTAAACAGATACACAAACCCACAGTTGTCAGAATTTCTCAGAATATATTATTTTACGTTGCACAGAAGAAATAATACAGGTTTAATAAATTGATGGGAAGGGCTAACAGGTTTAACAGCAGGTCACTCTAATGCCGAGTTCACACTGCACGATTTTTCACTCGCCGACAAATGCCCCGAAATCGGAGGCAAATCGGTGCTCGTTCACACGAGTGACAATTATAGTCACTCGTGTGACTATGCGGACCAGTGTTGCCAAATCCACGATTGTCGCCGGTTGTTTTTTATGTCAGCAGGTTGAAGCGAGCCCAGTAACGTGATATTTAGGCCCTATAATTAAATAAAATAAAACAAAGTGAGGCAAAGCAAATCAAAAACAAAAAAATAAAAATAAAAACAAAACAACAAAAACAAAGAAACAAAAAAAGCAAAGCAAAATGAAATGAAATAAAAATAGATTACACTTCTGCCTTGCACGTACTATTTACAAAAAGAACGCTCATCTCAGGTATATAAAAAGCATTCCTGAAGGTGTGTCAGTACATGCCAAGTGACAAAAGCCTTCCTCATATTTTGAGTGACACCCTGATGCATTCCGGTGGTTCAAACAGAGCATGATGCTAGCAATGCCACAGCCATGGGTTTGATTTCCAGGGAATGCATGAAATTATAAAATGTATACTTTGAATGCAACGTCCACTGCTTTGGATAAAAACAACTGCCAAATACATCAGCCTGTACAGGAGATCAAGGGTACATAAAGGAAAGAAAATATTGTTGAGAAAGTAAGAGCGGGATGTTTCCCAGCATATAGGGTAGTTCTTGGCATCAATTCAAGCTCACTACTGGTCCCATTGTAACTTAATGGTACAGTGGCGATGCACAGGGTTTTAAAGCCACATGGGTCTTGATTACCCTCAATAAATGCAAAATTCTGCTCAAATTCTCAGTGGCTGCTTAAACATATAAAGAACTGCCAAAAAAGCCACAGACCACTGTGTTTACACATTTTGGTGGCATTTCTTGACATTAACCTGGTAAAGGAGAAAGGATTTTAACATTGCATCAGCTTAACTTTTTATTTATATCAACTGCCAACAACATGGACAATGTCCAATCTGAAGGTTGTGGTAGATGAACTACAGTCTTCAGTCTAATATTATAAGTAACTCTAGTCCTGATCTGATAAATACAAATCTAGTGAGGTAAGAGTAATGCTGGTGATTAAGTGTTGTTGTATCCATTTTCATCTCCATTTCCTGCGTACGAGGCTACAAACGGCATCAACAGCTCTGTTTACTTTATCCACTCATATACCGGCAGCATTGGGATCCCAAGAAAGAACTGTTGTTTCGAAGAATCTTCGTGGGTTTCCACAGGAAGTTCACACCGCTCCACCCAGCAGAGTTCAGGGCCAGAACGTGTCAAGGGGTGGTGCACACATCTCAGCACTGACAGCAGGAAACAAAAAGAGAAATGTTGAAAAAATAAGCTTTTCTCTCGAAGCAACATTCAAGAGGTGTACAGATCGAGAGGCTTCTGGACACCCAGAGTAATGTCTGCTTATATTCACAAAAAAATGTCAATCAAACCTTTCTACTATAAAACACTGGAGAAGTAAAAAAACAAAATCCATAATTGATATTAGTGGGACCCAAAATTCTGAAACTACACTGAAAGGGTTAGGAAATTAGAATGTTTAATGAAGTAGAGTCACACATGACGCACTTTAATTTTTACATTTAGCTCTTTATTTTTCTCTCTCTCAAATCAGTGTTTTCATGATCTAAAATGATTAAAACTAGTTTACATCACAGATTTACAGCATCCCTTTAATCTAATGCAATGTTCCTTTTAAAGATTCAAGATATTTAAACACAACAAATAGGGCCTTCTATTAAACCTTTCTACTATAAAACACTGGAGAAGTAAAAAAACAAAATCCATAATTGATATTAGTGGGACCCAAAATTCTGAAACTACACTGAAAGGGTTAGGAAATTAGAATGTTTAATGAAGTAGAGTCACACATGACGCACTTTAATTTTTACATTTAGCTCTTTATTTTTCTCTCTCTCAAATCAGTGTTTTCATGATCTAAAATGATTAAAACTAGTTTACATCACAGATTTACAGCATCCCTTTAATCTAATTATGTTTGGTTTATGCAATGTTCCTTTTAAAGATTCAAGATATTTAAACACAACAAATAGGGCCTTCTATTAAAAAAAATAGCTACATAACCAGAGAACACTCCCTGCTTAAGTGAGCTGACGGGAATGTAAATATAATAAATGTTTTTTACAGTTAATGGCTCATGTGCTCACCAAACATTCATGACTTCATGTCTGAAGTTGCTTCAGATCATGATGATTATGATCTATTTCTGGTCGCCGTACTGTACTTTATTTTTTTTTGTGGAATAATGCTAACTGTTTCAATTACTACAAAACAGTAGGCAGTATACAGTTAGTAAGATGATATTCCATTCTTAAGATAGCCAGTTTAATGTCTCTCTTTCTCATTTGCGAAAACCACAGGACACTCATCTCATTGAGATATATTTAGCAGTTGCACTGCTCTGTCCTGCAGCAGCCATAAGCTGTCTATAACGATGTTGACAACTTCAAAATAAAAAATATCCTTGGTGCCCTCTGTTGGCCGTTAAGTAAATAATGTGACAGAGAAACGTCCGTGTACAGGCACTTATGGTCTAAAGTATTTGAGTAAATGTAATTAGTTACTGTATTTGAGTATCTTTTTGGCTACTTCACTACATTTTTTGAATAGCCTCTGTACTCTTTATTACCCCAATAGCTACAATGAGCCATGCAATTACACATTAGGATTTTGCATGGGACCTAACTTTTTCTGCAGCATTTTATTTCTGCTACAAAAGAAGCAATATTGCCATCTACAGGCATTAAATGTACTATATCTTGTGCATTTTGCCCTTCACTCACCGAAACTTATCAACAAGGCTTCTTTATGCGAGTGCATTAGCAGGTAGATGTGAATCGCTGTTTTATATAAAAGATGAAGACATGACTGCAGCCAGCAATGAGGCCGAAACCAGCACGTCTAGTGCAAGATGCCTTTGACATTAATTTTACTTGACATTATTTTATTTATCCATCATATTGAAGAGAACTTTTTGAAGGATACTGGTTTACTTGTACCCTTTTTGAGTTATTGAAAATAAACGTGATTTCTCTCCTTACAAATCAACGGGGGTTTTTTTTCACTGGCACATCTCTTAGGTGTTGAACACTAATGCATCTTTGAGCCTCAGTAGCTAAATACTTAAAAGCAAATACTTAAGTACTGTTAAAATCAGATAATCTAAGACTTTTGTACTCTTAAGTCGTTTTGTAATTAGTGACTTGTAATGGAGTCATTTTTGCTATAAGGTAGGCTTAGCTGTACTTTTACTCAAGTAGCTGGTTTTCATGTAGGCCTACTCTTTACACCTCTGCTTGTGTGTGTGTGTGTGTGTGTTTTCCCCTCCAAAAGATTAAAACACCTGCTCATTTAGCTTAATCTGTCCAGAATTGTATAAACCCCCCTTCACCGCGCAGGTCTCCCGTATGCCAGTGGATATATCGGACAACCTCTAATAAAACTTGTTTCGAATCGCTAAATGTGTGTCATTGTAAATCATTGTAAAGCCGTCAAAACCTGATCAAAGATCGACATAATTTGTTTACCACAAAGACACACCCTTCTCAGTCAGGTGACGGGTTACACAACTGAACTTTTAAATGTTTGTGAACAAAAATGAAACTGAAAGTCCCTCCAACATAACATACATCCCGTGAGCTCCATATTGCTCCCAAATTATCCAGAGAGATGAACAAAAAAAGAACACACTTCGGTAAGTAGGCCTATTTATTTTGTTTTGTTATTATTTTTTGGCTTTCTCCAAAGCAAATGATGTGCGGTCTACTGTAAATGTAATACTTTCAAAATATTTACATGTAGGCTACGTTTTAAGAATCAAAATGGCACATTGGCAGAATGAGAAGGGTTAGTTTTCGCTTGCCCTTTTGTGAAACATATAAAGATAGCTATCACAAAAGTGCTGTGTGTACACTCTTAAAAATAAAGGTGCTTCACGATGCCATAGAAGAACCTTTTTGTCTAAATGGTTCCATAAAGAACCTTTAACATCTGAAGAACCTTTCTGTTTCACAAAAGGTTCTTTGTGGTGAAAGAAGGTTCTTCAGATTATAAAAAGGTAAGAAAGAGATGGTTCTTTAAAGAACCTTTGACTGAATGGTTCTTTCTGGAACCAAAAATGGTTCTTCTATGGCATCGCTTGAAGAACCTTTTGAAGCACCTTTATTTTTAAGACTGTAGGCTATATTTTGTTGTCGCCCCTCTAGCAAACAATCTCCACAGAGGAAGAAGACATCGAGATTTTCCGAGAGGCACGTTCATGCCGCTTCCATATAGACGTGTGTACGGACGACAGAGCCGACTGGAGAGTGGTAAGATCCAGTAACTAAATTTGTTAGAATGCCTCAAGAATGTGCGCTGAGGGACACCGTCCACCGACCTTCTCAAAATTGTTTAGCGCCATTATGTTCGACCTAAAAGCAAAATCATTATCAAGATAATTGAAAGGCAATTTTCATTAACAATGTTGCGTTTTTTGTTTTTGGTTTGACAGCTTGAAGAAACGACTAGTCTACACATTGTGAAACGGCATAATAAATGTCGCTCTTTTTAATTAATAGTTTCAGCTGCGCAGTTGCATTTTCCATAGAACTTGTGCAAAAACCTTCCTAGGCCACTTAACTTTTGTTTGTACAGTTATTTGGAACAGACCATCCTGAATTTAGTCATGTCTTACTAGCCTAAAATAAACAATAAAAATTTAAATAAATAAATATAAATGAAATCGTTTTAACAATATTAAATAATACACAGCATTAAAATAGTATAAATATGTATAGACCTAATGATAAATGCAAACAAGTAAGACTCAGTTTGAATAAGACTTGCTTATTCAAATTTCTCATATGGTAATACAGAAATTTGTGTGTGTTCATTACAGAGAGAAAGTGGTCCAATGATAGGCCTACTTTACATGCTCAACAGATCCGGCCTTATAATCAGCAAGAATTGCCAACAAACAGAGGTGAGGTGTAATGGACTTTTATGAAATCACTATGAGAAAATATTCTTCAGTATGACTACTTTATATCTCATTCAGTGCATTTGATTTTAATTAGGTCATGGCTCGAATGTCAAGACACTTTTGAATATAATTATAAAGGATCTGCAGCCCTTAAGTGCTGTGACGAGACATCATCTCACAAGGACTCTGCAATCCTCTTTAGATCTTCAGTTAAGTGCCTCGTGGCTCCGAAATGAACTACAGAGCCTTTACGGGCATGAGAGGGTGGAAGTACAGAATGCAGTCAATGATGCAAGTAACCTCGCGCTCTCAGCTGAGTTGTGGAGCTCCAGTGAGAAGGTGTTTTACCTGACAGTATCCTGTCACCTAATCAGCGAAAACTGGAAGCTGAAATCGTATGTGCTAGATACAGCTCATTTACTCACCAAGCACACAGCAGAGAACGCAGCAGAGCACCTTTTGAGAATTTCGAACGAGTGGAACGTCACAGAAAAGACCCAGATTGTGGTCACAAATGTTGATGGCATAAAGAAGGCCCATACCAATGGATGCAGATGGACCTATATACCTTGTTTTGCTTATACCCTGGATAAAGTTTTCAGAGAAACCATACTGAGAACCGACTGCGAATCTCTACTCAGGAAATGTCAGCAAATAGTTGCATTTTTCCACCAAAACTACAAAGCCTCACAAAATCTCCAGGAGTATTGTGCTTCTCTCGATCTCCAGCGAAGTGAACTGACTCAATCCTGTGGTCTAAAGTGGCTTCCTACTCTTCATATGCTGAAGAACATCTCAGAGCAGTGGAAAGCCATTTTTAAGGTTTTTGTCAACAGACGAGTGGATGATCTTTGCCTGAATGAGAATGAAAGAAAAATAATTGGAAACATCGTGGCAGTGCTGGACATTATGAAGGACGTCACAGAGGAAGTCTTAAGTCGAGGGTTCAGTCCCATCTCAAACATCATACCGCTTGTGCAAAAGCTGCAGAAGAGGCTGAGAAACCAATCGGTGGTGGAGAATGGAATAGCAAAGAAACTGTCAGAAATGTGTGACTTTCATATCGGCAACATCAAACAAAACATTTGGTTTAGAGTTAGCACAGCACTGGACCCGCGATACAGCCAGCGATTCCAAACCAGCGTTCTGCAGGACTCTGGCATTGAAGACATCACAGCAGAAATCAGGAAACAGATCAGGGGAGATCCACACACTGCAGTGCACTGCAGTCATGACACTGAAAGCGAAGAGTCAGTCTTTCAGAAGTACTGGAAAACAACAAGCATTTCAGTGAATGCACTTGAATTCTGGAAGACCAATGAAGAGTTTAAAAAACTTGCAACAGTGGCCCGCAAGTACCTCACAGTGGTCTCCACTGCCATTCCAGTGGAGCGTGTGCACCAGCTGCAAGAATCACGGCTTGTTGACAGGAGAAACTGTCTGGAGCCAGAAAATGTCAATATGATCCTGTTTTTGAACAGCAACCAATGAAGAAAACGCATTATGTACGTATGCATACTTTCTGTAAATAATGCTCAGCACTGTAAATGTTTCAAATACTGTCAAACTGTAAATATCTGTTACATGAATGCCATGGAGATATACTTTTTCTTACACATTTATATATATATATATATATATATATATTTTTTTTTTTTTTTTTTTGATCAAAAATCTTGATCTAGACAATTTTTTAATGCTTTCCATTTCCTACATTAAATGGGAGCAAAATATAAAACACACGCACATGCATATAAATACCCATGTAATGTGTAAAATTAGTTGCTGTTTTTCCTTCTACAGGTGATCAATGGGACCCCTCACTGGATATGATTATTTCAGATTTACATCCACATACCAAAGTTGAAGAGCTTGAATTGTATGAATGAAAGGTTTCAATATCTACCAACATCTGCTGATATACTTTTAACGCTTCAACAATTGTATTTCAAAGCAACACAAACATGTGCAAAAAGGTCTAGAAAGTGTAGATTGTAGACTGTTGCACTGTCTTCTGTAGTGTGGAACACCACAGCAGATAAAACCTATATGACAGCTACCTGTCACCTGATTGAAAACACATGACTGCTGGGTCCATGTGTTATCAATCAGGTGACAGGTAGCTGTCATATAGGTTTTATCTGCTGTGGTGTTCCACACTACAGAAGACAGTGCAACAGTATAGCAGATAAATGGCAAATTGGAAGCAAGATTAAAGTGGTAGTGACGAATGAAGATGGGATCAAGAGAGACATCAAAAAAGCAGGATGGGATCTCATACCCTGCTTCGCCAACACACTGGATGTGGTCTTCAAGGAGATGCTCGAGGCATCTTCTGACTGGAAAGAGCTGGTGCAAAGATGTTGTAAAATATCAGAGTATTTTTCTAATGTTGAAGCAGAAGGTCACCTCAAGAGGGCACAAAAAAGTTGTGGTTAAGGCAACATAACCTGGCTGAGACTAAGGGTGATAAATGGCTTTCTAAGCTAAATATGCTAGAAAGAATCTCAGAGCAGCATGAAGCTATACGCCAAGTGCTAATTGAATTTGACGTTGACTTATTGTTAAGCATGAAAATAAAAACAAAGACAATATCACCCCTCAAGGCATTCCAGGATGTCATATCACCAGCAAAACGATACCACTCACTGTCATTATACATTATACCACAGGTGGAAGCCATACGGAAGAAGCTAAATGAGTTGCAACAGAGCGGAAATGAGTTTGCAAAAGGAATTAGCACATCGTTTGAATCATCACTTCAGTAGAGCCAAGGAAAACGACTGGCTGACATTGAGCACCATACTTGACCTGAGATAGAGACATCACTCTCTTTGAGAAGGAGACTTTCACACGCATTAGGAAAAGGATCATTGCTGAAATGGAACACCTGAATGAAGAGAATCAAGGGAGAAGTTTCCGACAGCCGGACAGTTTTGATATGACTCTGAAGAGATACTTGGAAAAGAAAATGTTGCAGATTGGATGGGATCCTCTTGCATTTTGGAAATTTCCGAAAAATGAAGACTAGTACCGGAGTGAGGTTGCATGCAAATACCTGGCTGTTGTGTCTACCACGGTCCCGGCTGACATTGCCTTTGACATGGAGAAAGCCAGACTCGTGGCCAGTCAAAGAAGCAGCTTGGATCCAGAACATCTAAATATGATGCTTTTTCTAAATGCCAACTGTTTCCTTCACTCTTAACTCATTATTTAACAGAGGGGGAAATGATCATAGCCTGTTTGTTGTGAAAGATGAACAGTCACAAAACATTACCTATTAGCTATTATTATTATGCTACCAGCACATCAGTTAATATTTTAAGGGGTATAGTGGTTAATTAAGGTTATATATTTAGCTATTTTGATTAGGAACTATTTACTTTGTAGTTTCAATAGTCAATAATCAATCAGTGACAATATGCACAATACAAATATTATTAATCGGGCTTTGTCTGCACTTTTTCAGTAGGTGAACTCGCAAACAATTGTGAGATTTTTACACAATTTCTTGTAAATAAACTGTGCATTGAAAAGAAAAACCTGCTTTTTTAACGCAGAATACGATGGAGATTGCCTCACCAAATATTAGCAATTGCTTGTCAATTACCTTAAACTGTAATTGTTCAATGAGGATTGACCACAAGATGGCAGTAGGAACACATTTATGCTATATGCCTAGATTGAAGCATACATTCTAAAAAAAATGCTGGGTTAAATACAACCAAGTGCTGGGTAAAATAGGGACAAACCCACCAATTGGGTTGTTTTGACCCAGTGGTTGGGTTACTACCCAGAAGGTTGGGTTAAACATTTAACTCAACCGCTGGGTCAAAACAGCCCAATTGCTGGGTTTGTCCTTATTTGACCCAGCTCTGGGTTGCATTTAAACCCAGCATTTTTAGAGTGTATAACACAAACACAATATAATAAATATAATATAATGTAATATAATATAAAAATGTTTTTTTCAGTCGATCCATGCATAAAGTCACATCATGGTGTTCTTACCTTATTGTTCATGTTCACCTTGAATCCACTCCCCCAATGCATTTCCCATAAAAATCCTGTTTGCAGAGATCTGTTGCATCAGCATAAATAGTGCAAAGGTAAATTCAACACACTGGAATAGCTGTGATACAGTAGTTTTTAGCCTGATGGTGGTTATTACGCATGTGGATCTACAACACTGGGGAACTACAACATGACCAAACTAGCTCAGATAGTTTGTTTTACTCTTAAATTATGATTTGCATGAACATAAATACAAATTACGGCCCTCTGGTGAAGTTTGCAGCTTTTTCTTTTATTGAAAAATATTTTGCAAGGGAAAGTAAGGCAGGTCAATATTTATATCATTTCAGTACAGAATGATACAGACATTAAGTGAAAAAAGATAAACAGCAAATACTTGGAAATGATTTTATACCATATTTTAGTGTTTTGTCAACCATTTTCTGCAGCACCTGTAGGAAGATGTGGTAATATAAATTATTATAAACCTGTGTGCATAATCAAGCAAAGAAATTATACTATGCTATTGTATATGGGCGGTAGAGTTTTGTCTCTGTAAGCATAGACACAAGTAAAAGTATTAATGTCCTGAAAGAAAACTATTCCGAAACTGTAGAGGGAGCCCTGCTGCTCTAAAAACCTGTTACAGTCCAGCGTTCCAGCTCACTTTCAGTCTCACAAATCCAGTTCCGGACATCTGGTCTTCTTCAAAAGCTTTGCATGCAGTGTGATATCTCCACAACCACTTCTTTAACTTCCTCCATTTGTGCTCGCAGACCAAACAGCACAATGCAGCATTTTGACCAGATATTAGGCAACCCAAGCCCCTTGTACCCCATTAATAAAGCCCTTTCCAAACCATTCTACATATCCACACTGAAAAACACTCTAGGAAACATGGAGTCAGCATTACAAACATCTTTCTTACAAACCGTACCTTACTTGTTCCTCTGTACAAACATGCTGATTTCACAAACCAACAAAAAACACTGACAGTTGAGCAAGGACATAATGTAGCTGTAGTCTTGGGAGTGTTAAAGCTGATGTAAAGCCTAACTAAGCTCACAAAGTGAAGGTAAAAGGCCACAGAGAGATCTGTACAAACAATTAGGTACCACTGAAACCAAGTGTTTACAAAAATAACTAATTCTACAAAATGGTGCTCTCTTGAGTGCAGTGTGCTTATATACAGTAAATGTCAGATTACAGGGCCAACACTGTTGACTAAACAATACAATCAATCACAAGACTAATGAATAACTGAACATGATGTACATATATCAAGAGTGGAATGCTTTTAAATTATCTCCCCAAAACATAACTTTGTGTCATAGGGAAAAATAAAATAAAATCTAAATTCCGAAAGTGCACAATGAACAGTTAATACTTGCTTTAGTAGATGGTAATTAGTTTATGTTTTCAGTGGTAAACCACAGCCTATAATAATGTTAAGTATATTGCCAGTATTTGGGCACATTTGCTATTAGCATAGTTTGTGAAAGTCTCATAATAGAGACCTAAATGTAAAGTGTGTAATTTCTGTGGCACTAAACAGAATTTCAAAAATACAGTTTTAAGCATTACCAGACTGCCACTGGTCAAACAAATGCGTAGCCCCGCCTTCAAACTCTCATGATTGGTTGTTATGGAATTGAAAAATATGTAAAGATTCCAACTAGGGGAAAACTGCAGTTTTGTGTTTTTTTTAGATTCCATTTTAGTGCTGCTGATGGTGCAGAAATGACACATTTCACCTTTAAGGAAAATTTGTGAAAGCTTTACATAACTCTGTAACATAAATTTGGATGGTGGATCGAGTTTGCTCATTTTATACATGTTAAAGAATTTTAATAAAGTACAATTTTGTCTACATTTAACTGATGCAAAGGGTATGGCACTAACTCACAGAGTGGCTATACAAGTTACAGTCTCACCATGGGGTGTTGATCTCTCTTCAAACCTAAATACAGAAACACAAAGAACTATGAAAGCCATTCAGAGATGAAAACCCTCCAGAGCCACTTCTGCTGATGAGCACAGTTTGAAGTTCAAGGCACTACGTTAGATGCTGAATAAGACAGCTGCACTCTTCATCTCTGAGTCTTTACAATGATAATCAAATAACACACTCCTCAGCCCTCTTGACATCAATCCTCATTCACACACACACAAACAAATTGACAACTGGTTCCACTTGGGACTGATTCTACTGCCTATAAGTAATGCGACTTCACCACTGCTTTCGGTTTCTGCATCCCATCAATCTGAAATCTCCATGATTGAGAATTTTATGATACCTGACAGGAAATCCTCTTAAACATGCATGGACCACATGACAAAGTCCAGATCTACAACTTAAACAACTTTCGGTGGGAAAAAGGAAACATAAGCCAGAGATAAAGCGTTCTGTTGACCCTCCAAACACATTTATGGTATTCCAATCATCTCAACATTTAGATCATTATGGTTTTGTATGTAGTATGTTAAAATGTAGGATGTAACTTAAAGATGGAATCAAAAGTTGTAAAACATACAGTAGGAAACTTAAGACTGTTGGCGTTGGTATTTTTATATATTTTAAAGTTTAAAGGCATAAGCATGAGTACTGCGTCGATCATGGGAGAATGTGAGGCTTGGTTCCAAACAAACCTCCTGTATCAGCATTCCAAGTGGTCAACACTGGAATTCATTAATGATACTCACGAGACTGTAATTACCATTTGAAATGGAATTCTCTCGCCATGGCATATGCAAACACGCAAGCACATTCCTCTCACAGCTGTGGTGGCTCTGGTGAATGTCACTAGTAACAGAGGGTTTATATACCTGATCTAGAAAATGTAGTGAAAAAGCCTTTAGCAAGGGCTAAAACATACGTTTTCTCTTTCATCTCCATTATAAAATCAGTCCTCCAAGTCAGTGTACGAGCTTTAATTGACCACAACCCACCTCCACCATTTCTTTTAGTCTTTGCAGAGACTGTTCTGGCACCTTATGGTTCACTTTACACCCTAATCTCATCATCATCGTCATCATCATCCATGTAGGAGAAGTCCCTGTCGTCTTGAACTCGAGGTGAGCTGTACTTGATGTTGTTCATGTTCCCCTCATACATCTGATTGTGGGATTTTTCATCTAGCACGGTGGACCCTGAACTGGAGAGGGAACAGCTGTCCAGGTTTTGATGGTTCCTGGTTTGGAGCTCTGGAGTGTAAGGGTTGGTGCCTGGCCTTTGGCGTGGGGGCCGGATTGGAGGAAGAGGGTCCTCTTCTTCCACCTCGTTGGGAGGGCTTTGGGGCGGCGAGCTGCGTCCCTCGCTACTCTTCCCCTCTTCAAATCCCAGATCGTCATCGTCAATGCCCTTCTTGTCCATCACACTCAGGATGTCACCCAGCATGGAGGGACCCAGATCAATGTGGAAGGACATGATGGACTCGGCATGTTTCATGCCTCCGGTGTAAGGAACCGAGGGACGCAAGTCAGTCAGCTCTCCGAAATTCCACTCGTCCAGCTCTAAGTCTGATACAGCGGACGCCGTGGCTCCATTAAGCGGCTTTACTTGGTCTTTTGGAAGTTTATTTAAAGGGCTTGAGGACACGCTCTTGGGAAAGTGGATTCCAGTGCCTCGTCCTGTGTCATCGTCATTCAAATATGGCAGTGAGATTGCGTTTTTTACATAACTCGGCGAGCCACCAGTGGGCGCCAGTTTGGATATGTCAGGCTTGTCACGATTGGCCGACTGCGAGCGCTTGCTGCTTCGGAAAGTACGAGAAAGGAGGCTCTGTTTAGGTGAGCTCTGCTGTACCTCCGGCTCCTTTGGTGGCTCCCCTGAGCGGCTGCTAAGAAAGGAGGTGTCCCCGAACGCGTCGCCTCCTCGACCCACGTGCATAGTGTGACGGAAGTCTCCCAGAGGTGCGCTGATCATCTCCGCAGTCAGGTCAGCACGAGAATGCCGTTTCGACTGGGAGGACGAGGACACAAGCTGCTTCAGAATAGGCATGATGACTTCTCAAATACCGTCCACAGAAAAATAAAATCACCAAAGTCTTTCTTTGCCAAGAGATGAGTCACTTTTTCCTATGACGGTATAGATCCAGGACAGTGGTCAGGATGAAAATTCTTCCAAGAATCCAGGACACACGGCCATTTTTATCCTTAAAGTATAGTGTCCAGCCTTCAACATCTGCAATTTGACCTATGATAGAAGAGAAAAGACACAATAAATGTCATTTTATTTCAAGGCTGACATTTTATTACTGAATCGGAGATTCTCTTTTAATTTTAGAACTTGAGTTGAACCGTCAGCTGATGGAATATATTACAAGTGGAAATTATTGGAATTATACATGATATTTGGAATTTTCACCTATGCAACATCACAATGATATCGCATATTAAATTGATGTCCCACTTTGTTTTAAAGGATTAATTATAATGGAAAATTGGCTTTGCAAAAGAAACAGATGAAGCAGGAATTAAACCACACAAATTACACACCAAATTCTAGGTCCTTATTATTACTGACTTCTATTAACATTTTAGCATTAATACTGCCATAGGACATCAGTGCTCTAAAAAAAGATCCTGGAAAAGCACACAAAAGACTCCTCTCGTCAACCTGTGAGTATATACTTATATTTGGATAGTAACTGCAATTGTAATTTAGTAAAAGAACAATGTTATTTTTTTTATTTGAGTTCTGCAAAACATGACGTTTGAATTAAAGTGGCCTTGTTTAAAAAAATAAGACAGATTGTACAAATTAAAACAAATAAAAGGCTGCAATGCAGATTTCGGGTAGTAATGTGGTCCAAGGCACAAATCCCCTTTCTTTCCAAATCCACATTCACTTTGTGATTACATAACCATAAGCTCAGAGGATCCCGGGAGCTGTAAAGAGTTGCATTTCTTCTTAAATTCAACTCCATCCAGTGCAGAATTCTCTGTAGTGTGCCAGACTCTTATATCATGAGGAAATCTAGACCTTTACTCTTTGTTGTACTCCACTGCAGCTGCCTCCTTCCAGGCCTTGTGCTGACAATGTAGTTTTTCCTTTTCCCCAGACAACTTGCTTGCATTTTTCACCCTTCTTTTTGAACACTCCTTCCTTTTTGTATGTAACTGGGTATAGGAATATAAGGACTTTAAAGATTATAGTTCCATTCTTACTGCTTTTATTGTCTTTAGGAGGCTGGTGTCAAATGATGAGAACTACTTTTAAATTGCCAATAGCTCTTGAAATCAACAACATACAAACTCTGTTTCCCATAATTACTGGTTTGCATTTATTGCATTTAGTGTTTGAAAGCTTCTGGATTCATTTGCACAGACAAAATTAAACAGAAGTATTAAGACCATGGCTAAACATGGTTTAAGGTGGTTCTTGCATTCTTCCACTGATGGAACAGCATCATTTTAAACTGAATGAAAATCACAATTTCTGGCATTTTTAAATATGTGAATAAGTTAATGTGAATAACTTGTTAGGGTTAGGGTTAGTGTAAATAGGGTTAATGTAAGTTAAATAAGATAATGTGAATATACATAAAGCAAAAGGCAAATAAAGAAAGAATACCATTCTGTTTAGCTTTATAAAATGTATGAAATTTACTGTTGTTGTTATTTTTATTATTTATTCTATTTGTTTTTTATTATTATTACTATTTTTATGGGACTTATTTTGTTTTGAACAAGAACCAGTTCTTGATTCCCAGCTCTATTTGAAACCACTTTGTCCTTTGCATATTTTGTCCTTTCTCTTAAAGTGAATCATTTTGCATGTCTTGGAAGACTAATGACGGTTGTATCATCTTATTGTAATGTCACTGTAGAGGGAATGAAAAAAAGGAAAGTGAAAAGTTGAACACATACGAGATAATTCAAGTGCTCTTAATCATTGAGTTCACTGAACTTTCTGATTCCCAGCTGGGCGCTGTGATTTATGGTTTAATAATCTGATTATCTGCTTCTTTACACAGGGGAGGCCTATTAGCTTTCACTGACCACCAACAGCAAACAAAAGACTTGAGACACACCAATCCCTCAAACAAACCATGATCAAAGATACTAAGTTGTTCAACAGACATAATTCTAGTCATAAAAACTAAGTCAGATTTCTCTGAAACTGAGATGGAAACATATCAACAAATTGCTTGTTGCCGTCTAGACAGTTGTCCACAATTCTCCATGGTTTCAAACATGACTTCATAGCCACCCCTGGTTTGTGTGCATGCCATCTGGATGAATGAGATCCAGGCAACAATATTCCAAAGACACGTCACCCCACCAAAACATTTGCATCTCTGACAACAAAAGCCCATTGAGCGACTGTAGCTGTGAGAGAACAGAAGAGGGTTTGATAAACAATAAGCTCCCCACTTGAGTCAAACAACTGGGTGTCCCTGTGGAGGATTCAGCTCTGCCCGCTGGCAGGTTGACCTCATTGTTGAATCACAGAATATCGCCCTATTCCGATGTCTCTAGATAGATGTGTTGTGTGTGTGTGTGTGTGTGTGTTCGCATGCATGCACAGTAATGCAAGACAGCCTAGTTCCCAAATAAAGGATTTTGATCACATACTTTGGTATATTTATTTATTTAATTTTCAGTTTTTTAGTGTTATATTCCACCTCTACTGTGTAATTCCTATGTATGTCTGCACTATGTCCATACCTTCTTCTGCACTGGAAGCTCCTGTCGCCAAGTCAAATTCCTTGTGTGTGTGTGTAAACATACTTGGTAATAAAGCTCTTTCTGACTTCTGATAAATCAACAGAATCAAGAAAAGGGGCATTATAAGCATGTTAAAGGGTCATGAAACCCCCCGTTTCAGCACTGGTTAGTTCTCACCACAGTTTTAAAAAAGTGGGCGTGGGAAGAGGGGAGACAGACAACACACACAGCTTCGGGTTCAGGGTTTCATTTCGCTCCCATCGAGTTAAAAACACAAATAAGTGCACAGCCATTTGCACTCTGCAACGAAAACATATATATGAACGTGCTGTTGCACCTCTGATAACTTTAGGCTTATTCTGCTGTTTATATAAGCCTTTTGACGGGTTGTGTCATGGCGCTGTAAAAACGGTAAGACTCACTAAGTGAATGAATCACGTTTGTGCCGAACTCTTATTACAAAGCAAAAACAAACACTCTCCTTTGATCCATGAATGTTTCTCTCAGTTAATGTACGAGGTCTCGCAGTCTGAAGCGTCTGTCATAGCAAATCAACACATGCTGTTGTGAATAATTAAGCGAAGCATCTTCTCATAGGATAAGAACACGCAGTCTCATGAATAATTTAATAGACACCGATGCGTCATCGATGTACTAGAGTGCATTGCCACGTCACAAATTGTGACGTCAACACATTGTAGATTTTAAACCCGGAAGATGAAAATAGCACTAAAAAGCTTAAAATTAACCAGTGTTCTCCAACAGTCAGTACGATCGAATGCTAACACTGTCTTCTATGATGAGCAACACAAACACCTCTGCTAAAATCTCAGAAAAAGTAGTCTGGGGTTTCATGATCCTTTAAAGACAAAGCCATTACACTTTAAAAGATTCAAATGATAAAATAAGTTTTTTTTTTTACATTATAGCTCTTATATGGCAACTGCTTAGCAACTTACATTTAAAATGCAATGTTTGCTTATAAACAAGATCACATTTGAGGTATGACTATATGCTATTTATTGTATGTTGTAGAACAAAATGTGAAAGTCTCTTCAAGTAATAATAATCTCAGACCTCATTTTACTCATAACTGACCACCAACAGCAAACAAAAGACTTGAGACGCACCAATCACTCAAACAAACCAAGATCAAAGACACAGAGTTGTACAACAAACATAATCCTTAAAATGACTAGTCTGATTTTTCTGAAACTAAGATGGAAACGTATCAACAAAGTGCTTGTCACCGTCTAGACGGTTGTTCGCAATTCTCCATGTTTTCAAACATGACTTCATAGCCAACCCCTGGTTGTGTGCATGCCATCTGGATGAATGAGATCCAGGCAACAATATTCCAAAGACACGTCACCCCACCAAAACATTTGCATCTCTGACAACAAAAGCCCATTGAGCGACTGTAGCTGTGAGAGAACAGAAGAGGGTTTGATAAACAATAAGCTCCCCACTTGAGTCAAACAACTGGGTGTCCCTGTGGAGGATTCAGCTCTGCCCGCTGGCAGGTTGACCTCATTGTTGAATCACAGAATATCGCCCTATTCCGATGTCTCTAAATAGATGTGTTGTGTGTGTGTGTGTGTGTGTGTTCGCATGCATGCACAGTAATGCAAGACAGCCTAGTTCCCAAATAAAGGATTTTGATCACATACTTTGGTATATTTATTTATTTAATTTTCAGTTTTTTAGTGTTATATTCCACCTCTACTGTGTAATTCCTATGTATGTCTGCACTATGTCCATACCTTCTTCTGCACTGGAAGCTCCTGTCGCCAAGTCAAATTCCTTGTGTGTGTGTGTAAACATACTTGGTAATAAAGCTCTTTCTGACTTCTGATAAATCAACAGAATCAAGAAAAGGGGCATTATAAGCATGTTAAAGGGTCATGAAACCCCCCGTTTCAGCACTGGTTAGTTCTCACCACAGTTTTAAAAAAGTGGGCGTGGGAAGAGGGGAGACAGACAACACACACAGCTTCGGGTTCAGGGTTTCATTTCGCTCCCATCGAGTTAAAAACACAAATAAATGCACAGCCATTTGCACTCTGCAACGAAAACATATATATGAACGTGCTGTTGCACCTCTGATAACTTTAGGCTTATTCTGCTGTTTATATAAGCCTTTTGACGGGTTGTGTCATGGCGCTGTAAAAACGGTAAGACTCACTAAGTGAATGAATCACGTTTGTGCCGAACTCTTATTACAAAGCAAAAACAAACACTCTCCTTTGATCCATGAATGTTTCTCTCAGTTAATGTACGAGGTCTCGCAGTCTGAAGCGTCTGTCATAGCAAATCAACACATGCTGTTGTGAATAATTAAGCGAAGCATCTTCTCATAGGATAAGAACACGCAGTCTCATGAATAATTTAATAGACACCGATGCGTCATCGATGTACTAGAGTGCATTGCCACGTCACAAATTGTGACGTCAACACATTGTAGATTTTAAACCCGGAAGATGAAAATAGCACTAAAAAGCTTAAAATTAACCAGTGTTCTCC